GGATCTCTTAAATAACACTAGTTTTAAAAGAGGGGACAAAGTAGTTGTTGAAAAATCAGTTTAAAACTTCAATGCTGTGTAGAAAAATGTTTCTAACTATAAATTCAAGGATTTAAATTAACAAAACTTCTACAACATATACCATGATTGATAAATAAATAAATAAATGGATAGATAGATAGATAAGGGAGGAGGTGGAGTTTGAGGTGAATTAAATCCTCATATATTTTCCAAGTGCTGAGATCCTAGGAGGACAGGATGTATCCAGGAAGAATTAGGACTGGTCTAAGAGGGGAGAAAAAGAATATCAAAGAAATAAGTACTTTATAACATAGAGATATGCTGCAGGTGCTACCTTCTCTTGCTAGATATATATCCTATGGCAAGTTAACTAAGTCATTAAAGGAGAGTTCAAAACATCTTCCCCTCTGAGGGTTATAAGACAGTCTATGTCAAAGCATATTTGTAAACAATAATTTACAATTGTACGACTGGTTTGAATGTATACAGCTATTTGGGAAAGACCTGCTATTTTCATAATATAAAAGTTATCTTCCAATTTCCCAAAATGGTATATCCTTCCATTTATCCATCTATTTAATTCTTTTTAAATTTTTACCAAACATAATTTGCATATACATTTCTCCTTAGATTGCTTGGCTATTTGATGTTTATTTTAGGTGGTATCATTTCATAAATTCAATTTTGTTTCATATTAAGATGGAAATATTAATGACTTTTGAATCTTAAGCAATTTTTTGGCTAAATTCACTAATTCTCATAGTTCAGAAACTCTTTGGGGTTTTCTCTGTACATAATTATATCATTTAAAATAAACTATTTTGTTTCTTCTTTTCTCATCTTTGTGCATTTCATTTCTTAATCTTGACTTACTGTTTGACTAAAATCAACAATATTGTCTAATGTTGAATAGAAGGATAGACTGCAGGTATCCTCATGGATTCCAGATTTCAGGATCAAAACTTTCAGTATTTAACCACCAAGTCACCTGCTGAGGACTGTATCTCTGTCAATTTAGGGAAGTAAACTTTTGTTTTGTAATTATAAATGGCTGTTGAATTTTATCAAATTATTTTGACCATCTTCACCTATTGACATAACTATATATTTGTCTTTTAAAAATTAACGTAGCAAATTACATTGATTTTTTGAATGTTAAACTACTTTTACACACAGAATTAATCTTCACTTGGTAGTCATATAATATACTTTTTGTATAACATATATAAGAGTTATGACTGGTCTAATTTCTTTTTTGTATAGTCTAGGCTCTTTTCTATGTAGCATAACATAGTACGAAGATGGACATTGAACTTGTGAGGCAGGTGGCAGTCCTTTTGGCTGTTCACTAGAAGTTGTATAAAATTAGGGTATACTACACACAAATTGGGGTAATTTCTTCTTAAACATCTGAAATAATTCACTGGTCTAGCTTTACATTTTCTTCATGGAAAGATTTTAGATAAATGGTTCAATTTCCATTAATAGACTCCAAATTTCCTCATTTTTTTGTCTTAAATTTTGTTCTCATTCAAGTTGATGTCAACTTGTTCATTATATCATGTATTTTCAATGCTTGTAGATTCTCTAGCAATATTTTTTTTTATTTCTGATGTTACCTTTTCTTTTTTTTTCTTTTTAAATTGGTAAGTTTTACTAGGGGTTTATTAATTTTCTTACTCTTTTTAAAAGACCCAGCTTTCAGTTTTTTGTCTTTGTCTTCTATTGTATTCATTTTAGCTCTTCATTTTCTTCTTTGTACATTTTTAAGGTTTGATTTGGCACTATTTTTGATTCTTTAGATCTAGTTTAATTTTAACCTTTCAACTTTCTAACACATGTAGCTAAGGGTATAAATTTCAAAGCACTGGTTTAGCTGCAGCCATAATTTTTGATATGGACCATCTTTTATCATTCAGTTTAAAATATTTTCTAACATCTACTTCTTTGATCCACAGATTATTTAAAAGTGTGTTTTAATTTCTAAACATTTTAGGTAAACTTGAGGATTTTCTAGTTATCTTTTGTTACTAATTTCTAGCATATTTTCCTGGAGGTTACAGAGCATAGTTTGAATTATGTAAATCCCCTGAAATGTTTAGAGGTTTTGGGTATGGGCTGTTTATTGTCAGTTTGGGTACATTTTCAGTATGGCTTTAAATGGGAATTCTGTTGTAGCTCATTATTCTCTGTATCTCAATAATGTCAACATTTTAAGCTGTGTTCTTTGCTATTACTAGGTTTTTTTGTCCATTCCAAAGTATGTTACAGCAACCCTTACGATGATAGATTTGTCCATTTTTCTTTATATTATCAAGGTTTACCTATTTTGAAACAATGTTTTAGAATTGTGAAATCTTCCTGATGATTTGACTTATCATTAAGAGGCATTCTTCATCTCCAGTAGTGCTTGAGATGTTTTACCTGACAGTATAGTCACATCCATTCTTTCCGTTAGTAGTTGCAAAGCTTATCTCTTTTTCAACCCTTGTGCATCTTTACCTATGGTATATCTTGATCTTTTTCTGTAGACCAATATTAGTTTATTACATCAGTTTCCATTTAATGTGATTACTTGTTCAAGAGGATTTATACCTACCATTCTAGTTCTATTCTATTTGACCTGGTGTTTCATATACTTTTTCTTCAATCTTGTCTTTTTTTGAGTTACTCATGTTTCATTTTCCTCTTTTAAAGTCTTTGATATCACAATATATGCCTTTAGTTAAATTTAATCACTTCCTTGATTCATAACTTTCTAATACCTTTAACTCCATTATCTTTGCCTTTTTCACCATGGTTGTCATGTATTCTAATTCTTCATCAGTTTTACACTTTACTAGTATTGATTTTAATTGTCAATATTCATGTCTATTACCTATTGGGCTTCTTTTTTTTGCTTTTCTCTATTTCCATCTGGGATTATTTATCTTCGGCCTAAAGACCTCCCTTTAGAATTTTGATTAATGTAGACTTGCTAGTGACTAATACTTTTTTTTTCTGAAATGTCTACGTTTCACTTTCATTTCTGAATGGTATTTTTATTCTATATAGACTTTTGGGTTATTTTCACCCAACATTTTAAAATGTTTTCTGGGTAATAAAATTTAAATGCTTCCTTGCTAATATTAATAACAGCAGCATAATGAAAATGCCAAAACTTGGGCCGGGGATTTAGCTCAGTGGTTTCACCGCCTGCTGTGCAAGCGCAAAGACCCGAGTTTGATCCTCGGTACCAATAAATAAATAAATTAATCAATTAATTAAATAAATAAGAAAATGCCAAAACTGCTTAATGCAGCAATTTTAGGATTTCTGGTGACTAAAAACATCTCTTGCAGTACTTTAATTCAAAGTCACAGAATCTTAGGATCAGAATTTTAAAGGACTACATATGGATCATCTAAACTCAGTTATCTCAATAATAATAAATCCTAGTAATGATTTAGTTTTTGTCTTGGACACTCCTAAGTTTTTGAGAATTCACCAAATCACAAGCTACTGCATTTTAAATCAGTTCTAATCATAAATGACTTCCTTATAGAGTACTAACATGAACTCTACCACCCTTTAACTCCCAATCACCATACCTCATCTACCAAAAGGAGGAACCAAGACATTTTAATCCTTCATTTTCACCTGTATTTTTCCTTTCTTTCCTTCATTTATTTATTTATTTTTGTAGACAGGGTCTTTCAGATTCCTCTAAGTCTCCTGAGAAGCTGGGATTTACAAGTGGTGTGCATCATTTATATTTCAAGAGTTATTTTGTCCTCAGGATTACAGGTTAAATAAACATTTCTCTCTCTACCTCGCCCAACTCCACATTCACAATGGGTCACTAATCCCTGTCAATTATGTTCCTAAAAATAAACTGGAATTTAGGTCATCATCCTCACAGATAGTGACTTAATTTAGACCTTTTTGTCACCTGCGCTGTTTTTGTTTGAGTAGATGCTAGACATCTTCAATTCCTGTCTCTTTTATGTTTAATCTTTCAATAGCTCACTGCTACAGCATAGTTTTCCAAACTCTTCTGAGAAAGTGGGTGGAGGGGTCGACTTGACAATTGTCATTTGCTATATTCTTTCATTAACACAGTGTAACCTTCACAAACTCACTGTGACCCAGAAAAGCTTTCAGTAATTTTAGATGCAAAAGTTAACTAAATGAGTAAACTTTCATATACACACACTGAAGATAATCTTGCAGTTGGGATGGGATAACCCTGAACTTCAGTATCCTACCAACTAGAAAGAAAAATATAGTCTAAAAATATTTGTGGCAGGCTCTGGTTTGATGATGAATGAATTTAGAAATGAGACAGAATTTATAATAAAGACAAGTCTTATCACCTTTTATTCATTATGTAACGTATAGTAAGCTATGTAACTTCTTTGCTTTTCCACAAAAGGCAGTTAACATTACCTGCCATGATAAAAATTAAATGAGATGATGACCACAAAGCAGATTTATTTAAAAAAGAAAAATTAAAGATTGTTTTCAGTGAAGAATTTTTCAGTGGGAAAGTGAATGAAAGTAATCTAAATGCCTACTTGTATTCATCCAATGGAAAATTTAGTCACTTTTAAAGAGGGAAAAACTGTAGTTACAAAAATCTACATGGATTAATCTCAACAACATGCTGAATGTAAGAAGCAAGTTACAAAAGAATAAAAAATCTACTCATAAAGGACCCAAAAACCTGGCAAATTTAAACAGTATAGAAAAAAGATTTTTTTTCCCCATTAACTTTATTGGTACATTTTAGGTATAAAATACAGTTACATTCGTCATTGGGATCTTGTACCATTACATGAGTCTCTTGGTTCTTATTTTTTTCCCCTTCCCCTGCCCTCCCTTCACACCCTCC